ATATTTAGAAGTGCAATGCCCCTGTAGTTGTTTGCATCTGACGGACTTCCTTTCTTGAGGATAGGATGTATTAGTGCTCGACACCACATTTTTGGGTACTTCCCTGTATTAAAAATGACATTAAACAACAAACACAGGTATATTATCAAAGACGGACATGCATTAGAATAGAATTCTGGACCAATCCCATCACATCCGCTAGCCTTTCCTTTCTTCAGTTTTCTCAGAACACTTTGAACTTCAGAAGTCGTGATTTCATTATCATACAAGTATACATTTGTGTCTAAATCCTCATTTGTTAAAACTACTTCATGATCAACTTGTGTCTATAATAAATCCTCTGATGATTCATTATTTCTGGGATTTAGCAAGTCTTTAAAATGACAATAAAATTGCTGTGGTGTGGCCTTAGCCGCAGAGAGAGAGAGAGAGAGAGAGAGAGAGAGAGAGAGAGAGAGAGAGAGAGAAACACACTAATAAACTACTCACCCATGCTAATACAAACACAGATCAACAATCATCAGCTCACCTTAGTACATACACACACCAGAGATGTGCCAGTCCGTGGCCAGTACAATTATCACCCACACCGGCTCCCTCCCGGTGGCTCACAATGTAATATTCCCAGGACAGAAAATCATAAGCTTAAAGGCTTAAATTCTACGCAACACAGCACACACAAAAATGTAGATAAGAAACTCTGGGCAAACACGTTGCAGACACGACACTTCCTCCTTGCTAGTCACTAACCGACTGCGTCTGCCTTATACTATCCTGTGGCTAACATGAAACAATGCGCACTTCGTGGTCTTATCAGTACCTGCACGCAACGTCGTGAGTTTTTAAAATTCACAAACCTCGCTCCCAACTCATTGTGTCTCACGTACAATCTCGTCTCCGCCCATCTCATCTGAATCCGGTCTAGTATCATTAACTGATCGAATCCCACCTCATATCCCTTTATTTTACCTCACCCCTGCTTCACCTTACCTCACCTCATACGATTAAATCCCAGCTCAAGTCAACTCAGTTAGCCTCTCCTAACATTACCTCACCTCACTTCACCCTCAACTCACCTCACCTCACCTCATACGATCAAATCCCAGCTCAAGTCAACTCAGTTAGCCTCTCCTTACATCACTTCGCCCTACCCCACATCACTTTTTAAAACTCATCGTAATTCACATCGTCTCATCCCTGTTCACTTCGT